ACAAGCAAGCAGCGGCTGCTTGCAGGACCTTCTACTCGGTGTGGATCTTTGAGAGCAGAGTTTCGCACTCCACCGTGAGATCCACATCGGATAGGTGGACCTGCCATCCTACCGCTGTCAGYTKTAGTCATCTTGAGGRAGTCGACGAGGTGAGGACCCGGCAAAGAACACTRTCAGGGGACTTTGGTGCCGTGTTTGGAACATATTGGTRTAGCACTAGATGCTCACTAAGYAGTTMTGGATGTYTGTCATATCGAYACATCATAAGATGCCTTACAAGCAAGCACCGGCTGCTTGAAGGACCTTCTACCCGGTGTGGATCTTTGAGAGCAGAGTTTTGCACTCCACCGTGAGATCCACATCGGGTAGGCGGACCTACCATTCTACCGCTGTTGGTTGTAGTCATCTTGAGAGTCGATGTGGTGAGGATCCGGCAAAGAACACTCATAGGGGACTTTGCTGCCGTGTTTGGAACTTATTGGCGTAGCACTAGATGCTCACCAAGCAGTTATGGATGTCGGTTATATCGACACATCATAAGATGCCTTACAAGCAAGCAGCGGCTGCTTGCAGAACCTTCTACCCGGTGTTGATCTTTGATAGCAGAGTTTCACACTCCACCGTGAGATCCACATCGGATAGACGGACCTGCCATCCTACAGTTGTTGGCTGTTGTCATCTTGAGAGTCGATGAGGTGAGGACCCGACGATGTTCCAATTGGGACGTGCTCTTGTTTCGTGATGTGCAGGTGCTTACAGGCGGTGCGTTCGATCCCCTCCTCGACGTGAAGCAAAGTGCGGGGAATTGCTCAGGGCTCACACCAGAAGTGCGATTGAACTCGCACTTTGATGGAGAAGCAGTTGCGCAGTCCATCAGCGCGACGATTTAATGTGGTCATTGGCTTGTCATTTCTATATCACAGGTTGAAAACGCCATCAAATCTTTATGTGTAGAAGATTCATATTCATTCATACAAGTATCTCTTGTCATCGCAAACATCGAGATGAATAAACATCGAGGTGAAAACATCTCAACTTGCACACTGTTTTTCCAAAGGTGAAGTCTCAGAGCAAACGATCAGTTTCCAGAAACCATTCTATGTAGAAAATTCATTCAAGGGCAAATTGCAAAGCACAGAGACTTTCCAAATTAAACGCAAAATATCATACAATGCCACATTGCAAAGTGCACGGAGGCTTTCCAAAAATCACAAAGTACATGGAGCCAAAGTGCGAATATGTTCTCATTTCCCATATGGAACCAACAGTTCAATCACAAATGCACAACATCCAAAGTGYGAATATGTTCGCATTTCTCATACGGAAACAACAGCCAGCATCCAGTGGAGAGCACGAGATGTATTCCGGGGATCACAAAATTGGCAATCATTTAGTGCACCGCTGAATCCATTAAACAACTTCAAGCACAAGTCAAATTGCAAAGTACACAGAGACATCGCAAACATCGAGGTGAAAACATCTCAAGTTGCCTAGTGTTTTTCGAAAGGTGAAGTCTCACAACACACGAACAGGTACCAGAAACCATTCAATGCAGAAAATCCATTCGAGGGCAAATTGCAAAGCACATTGAGACGTTATAAAAAGTAATTGAACGTGAAATATCATACGATCCCACATTGCAAAGTGCACAGAGGCTTTCCAAATATCACAAACTACATGGAGCCAAAGTGCGAATATGTTCTCATTTCTCACATGGAACCAACAGTTCAATCACAAATGTACGGCATCCGAAGTGCGAATATGTTCGCATTTCTCGTACGGAAACAACATTCGGCGTTTCGTGGAGAGCACGAGATGTATTCCGGGGATAACAAAATTGGTGATCACTCAGTGCACCGCTGAATCCGTAAAACAACTTCAAGCACACATACATTCTGGCGACAATTGGTTTCCGAATGGAGAACAAGTTCGCAACTGTCATAAGGAACCAACAGACAGCATTCAATCGAGACAAGCAGAGGGGGTGAACCGTAAAACGGGGCGGCACACGCAGAACAAGAACGACTCAAAACATATGAAAGCTGGATGGTCAGGGTGGGGCAGGGGAGAGGGGCTTTCACACCACAAAGTCTCGCGAACGAAAGAGATAAGCACGAAACAATTTGGTGACCAAGAATAAATCGTCGATATCTTTCACATTAGTACAAGAGGAGCACAACCTCGAAACGAACAAACGCAACACGGTGTTGCCGCGGTCTGAGACGACATAAGGAGAACAACCCGAAAATAAACAAAAGGAGAACAAAGTTGGGATATTCATATCCGATATGTAAGCATCTACTTAAAAGGAACTGCACCACGTGGCTAGGATGTTTACATCGGCATCTAAGGTTTTACTTCATGTAAGCGTAAACAAAAGGAGCACAAAGTCGGGATATTCACATCCGATATGTAAGCGTCTACTTAAAAAGAAATGCACCACGTGGCTGAGATATTTACATCGGCATCTAAGATTCTACTTCACGTAAGCGTCCGCTGCTACCCTCTAGCTGATGTTGCGCGGCAAGCAATGAGAACAACCCGAAAACAAACAAAGGAAGCACGGCGCTGCCAAAAGTCCTACGAGTAAAGATGATAGGTTCCACGAAATGAAGAACCCTTAAAAAATTGATACAGCGCGAGGCTGGGATATTCACATCGACACCTAAGCCTGTACTTGACCAAAATGTCCACTGCAATCCGGCACCTCATGAGAACAACAGCACGCTCGAACCGGTTGACTGCTAGATCAAGTGGGAATAAATTCGCACTTCTCCTTATGACATTTCGAAAAAAAAACTACGTGTATTTTTACAACAGTGGTACCATTGAGCGCCTTGGAGTATGTCCACAGCAATCCTCAGCCGGATGTTTGGAATGTCGCTTTGGGCTATCGGAAATGGTGGCGGACAGCCGCGTGCAAGAAATGAAGCGAAGGCGAGCATGAAAACACCGCAGCTCAACCCGTCTGATTGTTGAGGGACACCATAAACAACCACCTTGGTCTCCGTTAGATCCACCTTCATTTTTGGACCATAATGACAAACTGCTTCGTCACGGAGGTATTGCGTGAAGTTCGCAATCACATCAGAAGAAATACCGTCATCGTCTTGTACGAGGGCGTCGTAGTACTCCAGCCGTTGTTCTCGGAGACACAATAGGGTCCAATGCACTCCATGTTTATGGACAGGAATCAAGACCATCTCGTGCGAGAAAATATACATATCTTTTGTTCATCTCGCAACCCTATCATGTCGATAGCCGCCACAGACGAGCTTGGTATAGAAAAATGGACTGAAAGTGTAAAGAGAGCGACACCCAGACAACGCAGCGTTGGCAAGCAAGGCCAAGTACGACTCCACCACCTCGTCGAAAAGTCGTTCCCCCTGAACAAGAGTTTGAAGACTTTTTCTGCTCAACGGAATTGAACTGACCCCTTTGCGAACCGAGCACACCACCTCGTGGCCGTTGCTGTAATCTCCACAGACGTTCCGCAACATTCTCAAGTCCGTAGCGCTAAGATCCTCAATACGCAACGGAACGCGAAAACATGATGTAGCCCCAGCTACACAAACACCCACGAACAAGTGTGAGGAGTGAGCACAAACCCCGTGGTGGAATGGCTAAGAATTGTCTGCCCTTTTCCCAGAAAAGTTGTATCCCCGCTTRTTGAATGTGTCCTTCGCGATGTACTTAGGACACGGGTCTTTCAAGACACCCCGTTTGCCATCGTCATCAGACCCGTCGGACAAAGCAGTAACGCTTTCAATAGACGCAGCCAAATGTTTCCGCAGACCTTCCTCCTTGTCTATTCCACAATCCTTCAGAACCCTGACAGCTCTCTGGGAAAGGCAAGGCATCTGGACCCTTTTAAACAACCCTACACTTGACGACTTCTTCGGTGAAGTGGCCAATGACCTCCCTGAAAGACGTTTCTCGCGCATGGCTTTTAAAGGCTTTATGGGCAGGGACATTAACAACCTCACACCTGTAGAACATAGAAATCAACCCACAGCCCACAAGCTTTTTTTTAACTAGTGGTAACAGGTACATTAGCCCATGACATCAATTTGGACGAACACAAAGCTGGCAAGTGACAGATATGCGAGTGGTCCTATTCACAAATCTTACCGTGCTCGGGAGCCCTTTGAGGAAACTCGCCCTCCTGTTGCGCCACTTCGCCAACGTCCACGGACGATTCGAGGTTCTTGACCTCGGCCACGGCTGTGTCGCTAACCAGCTCAGTGGCAACTGAGTCGCTTGGCAAGTCGATGGGTTCATGAAGCACCATTTCCCGAATGGTACTGAGGACAGATGCTCGATCACCCTGTTCGGCACCGCAACGGGTGGATGGACAATCATGATCTTTCCGCTCTGGATCCATCCTGATGCTGACGGCCACCTCACCGCCTTCCACGGAGGATTCGATGTTTTGCATCTCGGACGTCCACTTACCTCCCTTAACGACACCCTCTCGCGTCGTGGCCACAACCGAGCGACTATGCAGAACCTCTTCGGACGTCCCGATCACCAGCGCTCGCGCGTGGAGCCACTTCACGTCTTCACGAGCCGGCCCGTGTCGAGTCTCCTCTCCCCGCTGTACAGCATGCGTTTCCCCCGGAGCTCCTGCACTCCCGCTATCAGAGTCCACGAACGCACCTTCCGAAGCATGACGTTCACATTCGCTACCCCCGGTCTCCAACACTTTGCGAGACTGCCAGCGTTGAGTCTCCTCTTTCCGATGTACAACACTCGTTCCCGGAGAGCGTTCGTCTTCCCCAGTAGTGTGACGTTCGTTCTCGCTACCCCCGGTCTTCAACACTCCTGGAGCGGGCCCCTCCAGCACGTCGCGAGACCGCCAGTCTCGAGTCTCACCACATGAGAAAGGAGGCGAGCAGGGTAACCCTGTGTCCAACTAAAGATGCGGGGGCCAGGACGTCACATTTTCTTGGCCCTGCGGAACTGTTGCGTGAGGAGCACTTATGGCGTAGGGCGACGGCAGCAAATCCGAATGTATTCGGAGTTCGTGGCGGTCGCCCGAGCCAAGGGAACCGGAGGTCGCACCTTCGCTCCTTCGTAATGCAGTTATCCCGCCCTCCAGGCAAAACGAAGACGCGCCCTCTTTCAGGAGCAAGGTGTTGAGCACAGGAGACCTCTGCTGCGCACGGCGGGATGGACTCTACTGGGCAACGGGAAACAAACTCCTCGCAGACAAGTGCGAATCTACTCGCACTTGATCAGACGTCAGGGTGGCCTCGTCTCGCATGTCGGAATCTCGACTCCCTACGCAGTGGGGGTCAGTTTCCATATTCTGGGGACTCCCGGACGTTCTACGATTTCCACCCGACCCCTTCCCGCCCGACCCCTTCCCGCCCGACCCCTTTCCGTCCGACCCCTTTCTGCCGGACGCCTTCTCAACCGACGATGTCTCGCCCGTCCCTTTTCCGGCAAACTGTGAGTCGTCTCCTCCGCCACCTCCGCCGTCTCCTTCGTCTCCTCCACCACCCCCACCCGGATGCTGACCGGTCGGCGGAGGTTGCGGCATGCACCAGTCAATGCCACGAGACGGTGCCGTTTCGAGTGCGTAGAAAGGCGCTCGAAACTCCAACATGTTGTTGGCGTACAACTCATRTAGCTTTTGTTCTGCATACKCATCGACGTCCTGMTCGTTMCTCTCRGGGTTCATGAGACTCAAATGCTCCACCAGAGCAGTTCTTGCCTTTCTCTTAAATGCACCCRCTCCCAGTCTCTTCAGTCCACTCCACTTGCCATCGGCCTCCTTTATTGCCATGACCCATATTCCATTCCTCACGGCAAGTTGGAATATCCTCGGGTGCCAAACGACGTTGTGTCCCCAGACATCCTCCGACGTGAACCGGTGATGCTTGCCGAAGAAGTAGAGTCTGTCATTTTGCCAGGTGTCATGGTCCACAGGGAGCCTGTCACAAGGTTCGTGATCATAGTCTCTCTCTTCCTCCCTGTCATCAGACGATTGGTCGTCGACTGGTTCGCCTCGAAACACACGCTTCAAACCGGCAGGGGACGTGCTTTATCTCCGAGGGCCACCTTCCTCTTCATCACCAACCTGTCCAACCACCCGAGGAAGTGGCATGGACTCGAAATCGAAGGTTTCGGAGTCGCTCAGCTCCTCCATGTCGTCAGCATTGAAAGGGTCCTCCTCGTCAAACTGTGACTTGTAGTTTTCGAGAGTAAGCGGTTCGGCCAGCTTGAAGTAAACGTGCTCCAGTCTTCTCAGGAAGTGCGAGACAGACTCCCTGGGTGCACCGTGGTACCCATTGAGCACAGCGAACACCAGGTTTCTCCGTCGACTGTATTCGAGGTCGGTCGGACCAGGCGGTCCGGGTCCGAAAAAGAAGTCCCAAACGTCCGTCCTTTTGTTCCTCGACAATTTCCAATTCATGTCACGTTTGGGATCCCAGTTTCGTTCGCCGATGGTGCGGGCAAACTCGCAAGCATTGCGAGTGTCTGCAACGCGTGCCTTCACGAACTCGTGAAGGTAATCGATCATTTTCGCCTCCTTTTCCAACGCGACGACGTTCCGACCGGTGCGCAAGAGTTCCCACACGACTGACGCATGCGCCTTCCCAAAGAAAAAAACAGTTTGACCAGCTTTGCAAAAGTTTCAAGTAGACCAAGTAGACGGGACGGGTTCCGCTCCATCTCCCCGTAAGCAGGTCCTTGAGAACTTGTCACGCCGCCGTCCTCCCACATGCTACGAGAGAACCTTTCCTCTTCCGCCAGGTCGAAACACGCCACAGCTTGTCCTGATGGGTCCGACGAACAGACAGCTTTCGAGCGGCGCGCCACCGTGTGTTTGGCCGGACTTGGACCATGAGCACGGGAAGCCTTTGTCGGGCTACTGGCCGGGTAGACTGCGAATGTGTTGTCTTCCAGCTTCTCGCCATTAAAAATCACGTACAGGCGGTCACACTTCTCAACCAGCATATTGCCTTCCCGGACAGTGGCCTGCTTTTGTGCATTACGTACCCACTTCCCTGTCCTGATGTGATGGACGCTAAGCCTGGTCATGCCTTTCAAGAAACTGAGCTCCCAACGAGAGGGGAAAAAGATCATAAGTGCCCAATGGGTTGGCGAAAGTGTTTGTAGAAGACCTTGCAAGTTGCCGAAATCATCTTCTCGCCAGTCTGTGAGGAGTGTGGGATCACACAAATCGAGGACGTACAGGTTGCACACGTAATGTCGCACAACCTCATGGATCGCAGTGACATGACTGTGAGCTTGGGAAGGCGGGAAAGCGAAAGGAATAAGGCTGGTCACCCGGTTGAGGTCGGGCCATTTGATGTGCCTCACATCCCCGCTGACCCTGATCGTGTTTCAAATTTCTTCTTCCGTCCGTCGCACTATGGAACAGACAGACTTTTCGAAAGATTTAGGGAACCTGTCATCATCGTACAATTTCTTCGCGTCGTCGAGGGACTCCTTCTCGTCCGGAAGAGTACCTTTGCAAGTGTTCACGTACTCCACCGCGCCCTGGAAATGCTTTCGCATTTCAACCCACACCTGTTTCGTAAGGCCCTGCGGCCCGTACTCCTCCAGAAGCTTCCCCTCGGTCCGAAAAAAAGGGCTCCCGTGGCGCCAAACACGTTCGTCCTCCTTCGTTTCAAGGAACAAGATGTAGTGGAACATACGGAGCAGCACACGGTCCACTTTCCTCGTCGCGATCATGTCTTTAATTCCTGGTTTGTGCTGACGCTTCAGATGGCCGCCCGCGGATTGCACGAGCACTCCCCTTAGCGCGAGAATGTCATCAAGGATCGACAGTTTCTTGGCAGCGGTCATATCGGCGAGACACTGCCAACAGAACATGTCTGGCTCCTTCACGACCACGAAAAACTTGTCGTCCGCTTGCGTTTTCTTTTTGGTCGGAGGCGGCGGGACCCGGACCAGCCACCCCATCTTCATTTCACCAGCCGCCCCTTTCGAGCCCATTTCCGGAATTTCTTGCACACCCGGAGATTTGACTGGCATGTATTTGCCCGGCCTCGACAATGGCATCTTGCCGTCGCCGCCCAACAACTTCCCCTCCGCCCATTTCGCGTAGAATTCCATGGTTTCGCGGAAAACGTCATCACCGGCCGTCACGAGCGGCATCCACTGCCTCAATGCATTGCCAACTGCAGCGACATACTCCTTGTCGGCGAGCGACGAATCTTTTTGTGCCAACGTCCAGTGAGCTCCGTTCGGACTGTTTCCCAAATTCAGCTTTTGGAAATCGAAGAACTTTTGTTTTTCGGCCTCCTTGCCGGAAGGGTTCCCTTGAATGGCCATCGGCCTTCCTTCATTCTCCCATGCCTCCCGCATGTCCAAGAACGCGGCCTTCTGCGATCGCTGCTTAGACATCTTGTGTCTCGTGTTCTCGTTGAGACTGACCTGCCTATACCCCGCGAAATCTCGGTCGGAGAACCACACTACTCTCGCCGGCCATGAGTGCATCTTCCACAAATTGAATATTGGCTCACCCTCCAACTCCTTCACAGCAGCCACGGTGTGTTGTCCGTTAACAGGGTAATAGTAGTACTTGTCCTTGTCCTCTGGCTTGAAGACATCTTTGTGAACCCTGTCAGCTCTCTCCGGCTTACGCGTCACCGGCTTGTAGATGGGTGTCAAAACCARAGGGTTTTTCGTCCAGATCTTCCCSTTTTTCTCGCGGAACTGACTCAGCATCGTACCCTTGATGTYGTCCACAGTTTCGCGACTCAGACTGCGGTGGTTGTAATATCTTTCCCAAGTCGGGATCTCGCAGACCTTCCTGGGGTCKATGAGCAGTTGGACGGGGAGCTCTTTCTCCACGATTTCACCGACATCGTTCCGCTCGTATTCGAGCCAGAACGCTGMCGCTTCGTCGTACTCCTTACCGACAGGCCCTTCGCCACCGCTCGCCGCCTCAACAGTCTTCCGCCTTCGAGTTTTCTTCTCGCCATCGCCTTCTTCARCTGCCACTTTCCGTTTCGATTTCCCCGAAGGTTCTCTCGCGGCCRCAGCGCCTGGATCAGYCGATTCTCCTCCAGCCGCGGCTTGTCCTTCGCGRATGGTCAAACCGCCGGGCCTCCTCACTTTCTTACTTGYCGTCCCACCCTCTTCCTTCGTCGGCCTCTTTCTCGAGGCACGTTCTCCGTCGCCACCTCCATCCGTGCCCATCACCGCCTCCGGTTTTCCTCTCATCCTCTTCATGCGGAGGGTTCCTTCCGCCACCTCCTCTCGCACCATCCTMYGTCGCTCGCTCTTCTTCTCCGAAGGAGTCTGCTCCCCGCCAGAGCTTTTGCGGACAGCGCCCATCCCTTCAGCCTCATTCCCTCCAACATCTAGCCCCGATATGCTTGAATCTCTTCTCGTCTCATCTCGAAGCGAATACGTGTCGGCGCCGYAGCGGACCTCGATAAGTTTTGGAGTACCGACCCGTTGAGTCCCTGTACCCAGAGAATGCAAGTCCGACGTGTTCCTAGGAGCATCCGGGCCGACCTATGTGTGAACGCTGCGTCCCTTGACCCGACCCCCAATGTCTTGAATCGGACTCCCGCGCCCCACTGCCGTACCTCGAGTTTCTTGAGCCAAGCCGGACGACCCCTCACGGGGTGGCAGAAGTCGGAAAACATGCTCTGGCGGAAGAACCAGACGTTCTCTCGGCACCATCAGCGCGAGATCGAGATATTGCTCTGGCGATGGAAGATGCTTGCTGCCGCCATCGTAAAGGCCTTTGAAGTGAGCGCACAACGGCATGTTCGAGCCGTACTCCGCGAAACTCTTGATGGTCACCAGCACAACTTTTTTCACCTCTGATAGGCAGTCTGCACTCGTCTCACATGCCGTTAGTGTGCAGCTTGAGCAAACCTCCAGGAGTCTTCGCGCACGAGACGACGGTACCGAGAGGAACAACGTTGACCGCTCCCCCAGCGTCTGTAACGCAAGTGGGTCGCATGAAAACAGCTGGCCCAAAATGGTCCCTATGAACAACGAAGTCCAAAAACCATTGTGCTCCCTTTGCGTGCATATACTGAGGAGTAGGTTGCTGTACAGGTCGTCCCTCCCCGGGGGCAGATGGTCCAGCGCTTGTGGATGTGTTCTTTGCGGACGCCATTATATTCTCACCTGTTGACTAGCACGCCCAACCTCAGACAAACTCGGATGACTAATACGCCAAACCCCAGACCACTACAGAAGCGAAGTGCGAACTAACTCGGACTTAACGAAATGGAGGACGAAAAGGACGTAAGAGATGGGTGTTCGAAATGCACACGAAGTCAAAACAATCGGGTGAAAAATAGGAAAGACAGAAGTTCGGAGGGAAGACAATAACTGTTCGGAAAGATTGCGACCCAATTAGATGCCCTCGAAACGAGTAAGATGTGGTTTATCGACAAGTGCGAAGGGTGTCGACAAGTGCGAACTAACTCGCAGTTCTGTAGACAAGACAACAATGGCAACGCGCTGCACTAGGGGAAAGTGCGAACTAACTCGGAATTGTGGAACTGAAGACCTCAAAGACGCACGGAACGAGTAAGATGGGGTTTATCGACAAGTGCGAATCGACAAGTGAGAACTAACTCGCATTTATGCTGACAGGACGACAATTGCAACCCGAAGTACAACGGGAAAGTACGAACTGACTCCGAATTGTGGAACTGAAGTCCTGGTTTATCGACAATTGCGAAGGGTTTCGACAAGTGTGAACTAACTCGAAGTTCTGTAGACAAGACAATAATGTCGATGCGCAGCACTAGGTGAAAGTACGAACTAACTCGGAATTGTGGAACTGAAGACCTGAAAGCCGCACGGGTTGGGTTGTCAACTCTCCAGCAGTGTTGCTCAAAAAGTGCGAACTAACTCGCATTTGTGAAAATAAAGAATTGCCTTTAATGAAATATGTATCTAACCTTGGGAAAACTGCGAATAACCTCGCAGTTGTCACTCCTCGAACACTGTACGTCGCAAACTGCGAACTGACTCGCAATATATCTCTCTCTCTATATATATATATGTATCTATACACATATATATATATATATATATATATATATCAGGTCGGCGACCTCACAAGGGAGACGTGAGCGAAAATCGGGAATTGATTCGGTGTTCAGTGTAGCAATATATCTTTATATATACATATATGTATCTATATCTTTATATATATATATATCGTCACAAATAGAACTGCCCGGTAAACCGTAGGCAGAGAGAGAGAAGAGGACAACAAACGAGGGGCTGTGACAAACTGTTTCGTCGAAGTTTCACCGACTCATCAGGAGGCTGAATATATATATGTAGATATCAGGTCGGCGACCTCACAAGGGACAGGTGAGCGAAAATCGGGAATTGATTCGGTGTTCAGTGTAGCAACTAGGTATTGATTCGGGGTTCGCCATGCGCAGCGACGACTGCAACTTGCGAAGGGGATCGAGCAACTTTATACGAACGTTATCGTGGCTATGGGGAAAGGTAATCGAGCTGCGGAACGCGGATCGGCTATGGCGGACGGAGGTGGAGGGTGGAGAAAAAAAATCAGAGCACGTCCACTGGCGAGACAACAAAACCGGGAATTGATTCGGGCTTCAACAGAACGCGGCTGCGGCGTTATATCCTGCAGGTACGGACAGGGCATCTGGGAATGTGTTCGGACGTCGAACGTTGATTTTACCTTCGTCGTGCGTTGAGCGCTGAGCGAGCAACCAACCACCGAACCAGCTATGGTGGAGGGATATCGAGCAAGGACCGAGGAGCAAAGAGCGAAGAGTGAGCGGGATATCTCGTTGAGCGTTGAGCGAGCAACCAACCACCGAACCAGCTATGGTGGAGCGAAGATCGATGAGCGAAGAGCGAACCGAACACAATGTGGCAACTGCGGACGGAGCGAAGAGCAAAGAGTGAGAGGGCTATGGCGGAGGGTGGGGGGGGCTGAAGACCAAATATCAGAACGCGCGCGGAAGTGATAGCGCCACTTGATCTGTGGAGCGCCAACAAAAGGGATAACTCGAGGGCTGCAACGCCTTTTATACTTTGTTGCAGCAGGCCTCGCGTCGAGATCAAGGTGGGGCCGAATCGATTCGCATATCGCACCCCTGGGCCCATAAAACGCCATCAAGGTAGGGCCGAATCGATTCACGTATCGCACCCCTGGGCCCATAAAAGGCCAGGGCCTATAAACGGTAAGGGGTACTGAAAATTGTTAGCCGTCGATCAACAATTTTCAACCACGCATATGAACGGAGCCACTGTTATGCCTGTGGCCCCAAAATCTCCGTCTACTCCAGCATGCAATGATGTGATAGTTCCCGAAAATAAGGGGCAGGCAATGTCATTTTCGCAGTTGTAATCTGGACCGTCGATCGACATGATCCGACGCACGAGGTCAGGCGCAAGAATCTATAAGGTGCGGCGATTCGTTGTGCGCCGAGGCGGTTCATTGCGCGCCGAGGCCAGGCGACGGTTTATTTGCCGCCGAGGCGCGGCGATTTGTTGTGCGCCGAGGTCAAAAACAGCGAAAATCTATAAGTTCCGGTGTCGCTGTCATTCGAACATTTTGTAATTGTCAACGGCGTTCGATATCGATGCGCTTAGCCATGCACGATCGTTATCGATGCGCTTAGCTCATTGCCATCGCCAACGCTCGTCATGCACTATCGCCATCGATGCCCTTAGCTCATCGCCATCGCGACGCAAAGTTATATCCCCCATCGCAGCCGTCGCGCTCGCCTGACCATCGCTGCGCTGACAATCGCCATCGCTCTCATCGCAACGCTGGCCATCGCTGCGTCATCGCAACGCTGGTACCATAGTTGCCATCGCAACGTTGGTTCCATCGCTGCGCCATCTCTCAATCGGTGCGCCATCGCTATTGCTGCCATCGCTATCGCTATCGCTGCCTTCGCTATCGCTGTTCCATCGCTGCACCATCGCTATCGATGTTCCATCGCTGCGCCATCGCTCTCCACTGCTGCGCCATCGCTGCACCATCGCTCTCCACCGGTGCGCCATCGCTGCACAATCGCTATCGCTGTTCCATCGCTGCCATCGCTATCGCTATCGCTGCATTGTAACGCGTTCTATTGCTGAGCCATCGCTCTCCGCTCGTGTGCCATCGCTCTCCACCGCGGCGATGGCCATCGCTATCGAAGCCCTGGCCAGTGTTATCCCACCGCAGCGCTGCGCGATTTCTCTTTCCATCGCCGCACGATCTCCCTCCATCGTTGAGTGATCACTCTCCATCTCACTCCATAACTGCGCAATCTCTCTCGACAACCGGGCAACCTCCATCCTTGCCCCAAAGGCTCTCCATTACTCGTGTGCGATCCCGCCATCGCCATTGTATTGTTGTTTCAGGCCGTCGTCGGTGCAGCCGCCCATCACTGTGGAATCGCACGAAACAGGTGACAGGTATGCTTAACAAAGGTTTAACTCGATGGAACAGATGTTGTGCAATAACAAATTTTGGTCATCGCTGTGCCTTCTCTCTCCATCGTTGCGGCATCGCTAACCATTGTTGCGCGTCCTCTCTCCATCTCTCTCCACCGATGCGCGATCTCTACTGACCTTTCGTCATCTATCCCCATCGCTACGGTATCTTTCCTAATCTATCTCTTTCGTCATCCATCTCCTTCGGTGCGCTATCTTTCCTCATCTATCTCCTTCGTCATCTATCTCCATCGTTGCGCTATCTTTCCCAATCTATCTCCATCGTCATCTATCTGCTTCGGTGCACCATCTTTCTCCATTGTTGTGCTATCGCTAACCATCGCTGCGCCTGCTATCTCCATTGCTGCGCCATGTTTCTCCATCGGTGCGCAATCTCTCTCTCTCGCTGCGGCACACCTCCCAATCAGTTTACGATCTCCTTCCCTTCCTGCGCCATCCACCTTCTTCCCCGGAATATACAACGCACTTTCATTACAGTTGTCTTTAGACTGAAAGATGACCCGAATTCAGCTGTAATGACCGGACGTTGTATTCGGGGGAAGACTGTGACTCCATCCATCTCTCTTGGTGCACCATCTCTCTCATTCGGTGCGCCATCTCTCTCCATGTATTTTCATCGATGCGTCGTCTGCCCATCGCTTCGCAATCTTTCTCCATCTTAAAAAATAGCACGCCATTTTTTCCTATTTCTCTCTTGCGACGATCTGTGGCTCGTACTACACGCAGAACAAGCCGGAAACAACTTGCACTTGTACCCGCAGTTTTGTAATAGAAATGCTCGTTTACAAGTGCGAATTCATTCGCTCTTGAACCAACCAACCCCTTAATTTGTCACTGTTTAGTCCATATGTCAGAATTCACTCGCATTTGTATCCCCAGTTTCGTAATGAAAATGTCCATTTGCAAGTACGAATTTATTCGCTCTT